AATTAGGCGTGCACCCAAAAAATTGGAAGATTTGAACCAAAAATGAAGGCAGGGCCCCCCCCCCCCTACATCAAATGTGCCAACTCCACCATCCCCTTTAAAAAATGTTTTTTAAATTATGTATCACTAAGAAAGTGTTATTTTGAAACAAAGTTCAACGCATTTTTAATCTTTGGCTGTGATTTTAGTTATTCATAAAAAATTAATTTTTATCTAAACTGTAATCCAAATTTATATTGTAAATTTTTGATGCAAAATTTGTTAACGTTTAATATTTCAGACTTTGGGTTCCCGTCAAATATCAGCAGGATCAACTATTGGTGTAAGTTTTTTTTTAACCTTTTTGCAGGATATGTATTTCTTGATTAAGTTCACCTTCCCTCATTTTCAAAAATATGAATATGTTAGAATGTTTTTTTAGATAGAGTATCATCTTGTCTAATCCGGGCCGAGCCCTAAAACCAGTTTATGCAGTGTTGACATATTTTTAAATATTCATGTATTAATCCTGTATTCGGGTTGTAACAAACATAGATTAGGGCGACATTTTTTTCTCTTCAAAATTAATATAGCAATACATACATGCCAAAACAGCCAACCACAACAAACCAAGGGCATGAGCATAATTGCATCTTTTGATATTTGTAATAGCAGACATTTTTTGACTGAAAAAATAAAAATTTAATTTTCAAAGGTTCTTGAATTTATTCATGGAGTTATAAGGAGAGTTTAGAAGTGTGGAAGTGTTGGAGTTGTCAATAAAATATTAATGATTTTTATGTCTGGTTCAGTAGCTAAAATTTCCGGAAATAATAAGGACCAAAAAAATTTGATTCATCACTAGTCCTGGGTGCTTACAAGGCAATTTAGGTTGCGGCCTTGAAGCGTGATACTTTATCTTTTTTTATAGCAGGAGCGGAAGTAATTATTTTTCCCGAGGTTACTGTTCCAACTTGAGTAAAAGATTGTTTTTGTTTAGATTTCTAAAGAAACGACAAAACTTCTGGATTCTAATACTATTTTTCTTCTCGACAAATATTCAAAGTAAGTAAAATAAAAAAATAAATATTAAATGATTTGCGGCGTGTAACAAATCATACTGGTAATTGGCTAAAAAAAAAACACCATAACGCGACCTTTACTTTTTAATTTCAAGTTTCATTTTTCCAGCTTCCGTTGAATAATGTTCTGTTAAAGTTTGTTCTCAAAATTTACATATTTACCTCAAGTTTTTCTCTTGTCAAGGATTTTCTGTAAAATCTAATAGATCTGGATCCAAAGTACTGTTCTAAAGTTTGTTCACAAAATTTACATATTTACCTCAAGTTTTTCTCTTGTCAAGGATTTTCTATAAAATCTAATAGATCTGGATCCAAAGTACTGTTCTAAAGTTTGTTCACAAAATTTACATATTTACCTCAAGTTTTTCTCTTGTCAAGGATTTTCTGTAAAATCTAATAGATCTGGATCCAAAGTACTGTTCTAAAGTTTGTTCACAAAATTTACATATTTACCTCGTTTTTCTCTTATCAAGGATTTTCTGTAAAATCTAATAGATCCGGATCCTAAGTACTGTTCTAAAGTTTGTTTTCATAATTTAGGTATTCTCCGAACCCGATTAGTATCAAGCATCTCCTCGAGCATGGAAGAGTGGCTGATGCTGGAGAATCTTTCCTTTTCCTCAGGTACAATTTATATTTGGTCAAAACCCCTTTATTACTGCTTAACAGAGCTGGGAACTTTTGTGATGAATACTCATAATCCATGTCGCTTGATCTCGATATCCACTGTAACCCTTTTAATTTGAAGATCAAGACTTAATCTCTTCATTTCAGTTTCTCCATGGTACGATTACCAATTATCATTCAGGAAATCGATTAAATTAATCTGTAGATGAACAGAAGATCTAGATCAAGCATTGATCTCGATGTCCACAATATAAGAGTTCCCAGTTTAGTTTAGACGAGTAGTATAGAATAGACACTAGACTGGACCATCCCGGAACCTTGATATTGTTTACAGAAGGGGTTAAAACAGACCTTGCTCAACACTTATTGAAAATTCTGCAAACATACCATACCGTCTTTATTTTAATATTTTCTTTGAATTTTATTTTACAGTTTTCATACTTATTCTGGGGTATTCAGTTAGGTACCGTATATATTTATATCGTATACCCAATCCGTTGTAAATATTTTTTACCTAAAGATATTTTTATTTTTTTATTTTATTTTTGAAAGAGGGAAAAGTTTAAATTTTTATTTGAGATGAAAATGAAAAAAAATTGGAATTAAGAATTTAATATTTGTTAGAAAAGAGATTCCAACTCGTCTTGCAAACATGATTATGGAACTGAAGCTACTTCCAGCCTCCCTCATGGATCAGAGAGAGTGTCAGGAGATTTATCATGATTATATATCCAGCTTCAGGTAAGATGCTCACTTTATTTGCTGGGTTTCATTATTTTACAATTTTTACCATATTCCTTTGACTCAAAAATTACTCTTTTATCTTCAAACTAGGGGTGTGGACTGTGGGTGCATAAAAAGTTTTAATATGACTTGGTGAGGTTTTAGTAACCGACTCTGGTTCTGCAGATCTGCATCAGGGTTAATAGACCAAGCCCATAAACTTCTAGAAGAAATTCTGTGTCCTAAACATTTTTAGAAGTGCATCTTAAAAAGAAATTAAAATTAGTTTCAAATATTATATGCTTGCTCACTTCATTCTTGTTTTAGTGGATTCACTTCAAGTTTGGGGGGTTGAGAGTCGGGCTTCCCTAGAAGTCTGATTTGATTCCAGTCTTTTTATAGGAATGATTTATCCTAATTCAGGGAAGTACTGGAGTATGAATCTATGTCTAATACCCCAGACACACACTCCAAATTTACAGACAGTCTTTCTCATATCAGGTTTAACAACTGTATGACGTACGTGTACCCGTACATTTTATCCTATACAAGGATTTTTTAATTACTCCGAACACTTAAAGGAGGCATTGCATCTACGACATTTTTCATTATCTCAATTAACAATGGTTTGTGGAAGTCTCAATAACTCAGAATAATAACATATTTTCATAAGTTTATTTATTCATATGTTACTCGTTTAACATACTAAGAATGACTAGTGTAAAATCCGAGATTGAACAAGTTTGCGAAATATCAGTGAATCTGTTTGCGCATTTATGCAATCTCAATTCTAATTTTAACATGTAGGACAAAATCATATTTTTCTTATAACTAAGTCAGGCTTCTACAGGTTCTACTTTTGCATTTATAGTCTTCTGATGCTCTAGGAACAGGATATGACGTCAAATCTTCAATATTCCCGTTCGGAGACCGGATATAAAGGATAAGGTACTTCATGTATTTGTTTTGGGGACTCCTGATCAAAAATAACAAAGGAAAAAAGTTACTGAAAATGTTTTTTAAACTATTATTAATCTTTTTAGAAAAGGCGGAAACAAAAAGTGCACATAATCCCCTAAAAATAGTTTCCATAAATTTTGTTTAATTCAATTCTATAATGATGTTAGTCGGTTTTAGTTATGCAATGCATGTATACTACATTTATTGTTTAATCAAACTAATGATTGATTGGTTGGTTGAAAAAAACTGTTTTAGAGACAGTTATTCATTTTTTGAATTTGTATTCTGTACAGTGTACGTCCATAAATTACCAGAGCCGTCGGAGGCGTCAGCTATTATTGATTGTTTGATAAAATGAATGATTGATTGGTTTAATGAAAAAAGTTATTTACTAAGACAGTTAGGTATAAGGACAGAATATAAAAAATTTATAGTTTTTGAAATCATTTATATCCTAAGGTGTTCTGAATTTAGGACCGGAGTTGAAAAATAGGAGCCATTATACTATAAACGGAGATATTTCTGATTTGACCTTTTATCCTGTTTCTAGAATATTAGATTAGAACAAGCTTAACTAGAACCGGCTAACACCATTATTACCAGTTAAACTCATAGAATTTTAGAAGATCAGTGGGAAATATTTTTGGACACCCTGTAGAGTGTAGAAGGTGCACTTCTTTGAGATAACTTTTTCTAAAAAAGATTCATAATAGTTTCTGTAACATTTTTAGTACAATTTTTCTTAAGTTATTTTTGATCGGAAGTCTCCCAAAAAACATTTTTTTAAATGAAAAATGCAGTTTTTTGACACTATTTAGATTTTTTATTAAATTATATAGGTCCTAAGGTGTAAGTGTTTTAATTTGGGCTCAGTAAGTTCATAAAGGACAGAGATGAAAAAAATCGGAGCCGACTAAGGTACCTTATCCTATATCTCCGAACGGAGATAATGAAAATTTGACATCATATCCTGTTTCTATATTATCAGATGAGTATACAATATACCTGTAAAAGTAAAACCGGCTAACACCGTTATTTATTGAGATATTGAAAAATGTCATAGATGCAACGCCTCCTTGGCCCACTTTAACTTTAACTTGAGCTGCTGACTTTTCAGGGGTGAGTAAAATAAAGTTTATTATAATATATTATTTATTTTAATGTCGAGATTTTTTCCCGCTGAATTTTGTAAATAAATGTTCGGTGTAAAAGTATCTAAAAAAGTAATGAATATCTTGCAATCTGAAGTCTGAAGGGACTATATGCGTAATTTCCAAAGGTAAACATAAAACCTTTGTCTGGTCTATTGATGAAATATCCCTTTTCTCTGTAAATGTTATTTTCAATTTTAACTTGTGAATTTGTACTGTGAAGCCAATGAATTAAATTGCCAGAATTTATCAAATTCAATGTTGGAAAATCAACGATATATTTCTCGTTGTTGCTGAGGTATAGATTTAAAGCGTGCCATTATAAATCGGAAATACGACTATTTTTTAATGGGTTACATTAAAATTATGTCTACTATTCCTTTCAGAATAAAGTGAGGGGAAAAGCTTGCAATCTAAAGTCTGATTTGTTTGATTATTTTTCTTTATGCTACTATAAAAATTAACCTTTACATTTTGAAATCTTCGATTCCTGGTTAGAAGCACAGTTGTTAAATGTAAGACGAAGACATGTAGATACTGTACCCAACATGGCACAAGCTGTACTCAGGCAGAGAAATTAATTAATCAATTATAGAAAATGTTGAAATTAAGATTAGAATTCCCATAAATTTTTTAAAATCTGTGCTGGATTTTATTCATTAAATTTTTTTCTGAATTGATGGGGGCTTGGGATTAATAAAGCACTATCTATATGACATCTTGCTACCTAAGCAGATATTGAGAGACAACTAAAAATATTGTTTTTGTTTGAAGTTGAATTTATTCTCTTATGGAACAGGATGCACAAATATGAACGACTACAAGATGGAGTTACCGAGGCGATTCAATACTTCTTGGATAGACTTTATACTAACAGGTAGGCAATGATACATTCAAAGATTTTCTTGGCGCCTCTCACCCCTCTTTTTAATGTGGGTCGGGTTTTCTCAAACCTCGATTTGTTTCCGTTTCTTAGCTAAATATTCAAACTAGGCTTTTATCGCGCCCGCTTTCCTGTGAACAATTTTAGCTTTAAACTATTGCTCTGAAAGTCGGCCATTTAAACTCATTCTCAAACATTGGCGGATTTTTCTTTTCGAATTGGCGCAATTTCAAAAACTATCAAACTATTTTCCAGGAATTTTTTTTTCTATTTTGATATTCCACAAACCTACCCGGGGGTCAAGTAAAGCTCACACAAAACTTTTGCCCGCTCAGTTCAGCCGTTTTGAGGTTTTGCGGTTACAAATATACAGACAACAACCACCAGACTAGAGCCATATCAGGTCCAATAAGAAATTAGGACTAGCATTTTAAGACTTTTTGAAAACAAGAATACGCATTAGGAAAATGAATAAAATGTTGAAACTATCTGCCGAAATTCTCTGACATATTGCTATTTTATTTTAGGGGTTTACTTATTAAGAACCTTTCTAGGTATATCAATGTTTTAGGATTTCAATTCACATGTTGATATCTCACTACCAATCCTTGCACGGTATCACAAAATCTGAAGGTGGTTAGTAACTATTTTAATTTATTTTTCAAACCTTTTTTATTACAATTGTCATACTCTGACTCATCGTTTTCCTCTATTATTAGGCCTGGTGGGAACCATTGATCCACATTGTGATCTACTTCAAGTTGCAGAAGAGGAAACAAAATAGACTTAATTCAAGAAAGTTCAAGTTGCGGCCATGAGCCACAACTTCTTTTCCCTTCCATGCCGCATAAAAGCTTTATTGTCTTCTGGCAGCCATGAGTCACAACTATTTGGTCTTCGCAATCTGAATGTACTAAATTTACCATTTAAAAGAGTAACAATTGCAGGAAAACGAAAATATCCCCCTCCCCATTGCTCCCGTATTACTTAAAGATTATTTTAAATTAAGATGACAATTTAAAGGATTCTTTTCCTACATAATAAATGAAGACATGGCGAGGTTGATTATTAAAAATAAATCCTTTATTTAATAACCTTGTTTTCTAAGTTATAACAAATTTATCAATTTTAAAAAGAAACCTTGACCAAATCTATTTTGAATCTGTGTGCAGGCGTACAGTGCTGCATCTTTGTTGTGTGATAATGAATATTTTGATCATCCTAAACTAGTTAGCACTGCTGTTGATACTACTGATGAGAATATAAATACTAGGGTAGGTAGCTTAGTTCCTAAACTAATTAGCACTGCTGTTGATACTACTGATGAGAATATATATACTAGGGTAGGTAGTTTAGTTTCTGAACTAGTTAGCACTGCTGTTGATACTACTGAGGAGAATATAAATACTAGGGTAGGTAGTTTAGTTTCTGAACTAGTTAGCACTGCTGTTGATACTACTGAGGAGAATATAAATACTAGGGTAGGTAGTTTAGTTTCTAAACTAATTAGCACTGCTGTTGATACTAATGGTGAGAATATAAATACTAGGGTAGGTAGTTTAGTTTCTGAACTAGTTAGCACTGCTGTTGATACTACTGATGAGAATATAAATACTAGGGTAGATGGTGTAGTTTCTGAACTAATTAGTACTGCTGTTGATAATTCCGAATTGTTTTGCGAAATTTTATTATTTCTTATTTCGCAAAAATTTTGCAAACTCGAAAAATCCAAAATTTTCGCGAAACGATTTTTCCTTTTCGCTGCAACCCCTACTTGGTTTCTAAGCTAGTATGTATAAAATGTAGTAACCTCTGTCTGTCTGACAGTTCGTTTGGATGTCCAATCATAACTCATGAGTCCATGGACCGATTTTCCTCAAATTTTGATAGGGGAACTAGGTCGAGATACGGGAATGTTCTTAGCTTGGTTTAAAGATAACAAAGGATTGTGTTGACTTGTTTAGGCAAAGCTGGGTGCCCAACCAAGTCTATTTTTAAAGTATAACTCTTTGTTTGGATGTCCAATCGTAACTCATGAACCCAAGGACCGATTTGTAAGTTGAGAATAGGTTGACATATAAAGGGAAAACTTGGTTTCCTGGCAAAACTATGTTTCCAAGCTAGTTTTATTATATTTGTGTAGGGTAGAATAACTGCAGTTTATGTTCCGGCTCATCTTCATCACATCCTCTTCGAAATATTCAAGGTAAGATAAAGATTATCATTTTTCAACAATTCGTTAATATAGTTTTGCGCTGAATGATGTAAAACTGGTTTACAGTACAATGTAGAAATAGGACACCCCTGAAAGTCTTTGATTTGGTTTGGTGTTTGCATTTGATAAATTTAATTTCATTTGATTTCAGTGAACGTTACTCTTTAAATCTAATTTTGACCATATTTCATTTCAATTCATTTAAATCATTTCACCAAAATGAAATAAAATCAATTTAAATCAATCCAAATCAGTTTAATTTGCATCAATTGATTTGATTAGTTTAGAATTCTATGCGTGCATCCTGTGAGTGGGCTGAGCAGAAGGAGCTAAGCGAGATCCCGCACATAAGGAAAATGTTTATTAAGTTCATCGTCAAATATTTTTTTAAGTCTTTTTTTTTAAATGTTTTTATTGTCTTAGTTTTCGGGAATTTAACGGAATAAGAAAATGTCTCCAAAGATAAAGTTTAATTTTTCTTTAAAATGCTTTCAAATTATTCTTTAATACACGAAACAGTTTGATCATTTGTTAATTTATCATATTCGAGAACTTACTTAGTTTTTAATTGAGTAAGGAATATAAATAGCAATGTTAACCTTTATTCATAATTTATGAACAATAAATGAACTTTATTAGATTAAAAATCTACAAGACTGCAAATGATATTACTCTCAAGATATCGGACAGGAATGAGCTTGCCTTAGAAAGCTGTTTTTATTATTTTTAATATTCATTAAATCCAGAATATTGGTTGTTTTTCAAATCTACAGTGGGATATTCTTCCTTGAAAAAAAAAACATTTATTCTAGGAATGTCTTCTTGGTTTTGTTCCCATAAATTGGGCATTAAATGATTTTATGATAATTAATATTTAAAAGGGGTAAAACTTGCCAGTTACTGTCCTATTTTTAAATTTTTGCTCAAATCTTGAGAAATAATTTATCCTCACCTTAAACTTAATCTTTAAATAGTATTCGATGCAATAATTATTATTTCATAGTTTTCATTTGATTAAAGTAAAGTTAAAAAAGTACGAATATTTATCAATAAAACGGTTTAAAAATGTTGACGCTCACTGTGACTAGGGGTGGTGGTATTGACAGAGCTAGAAGAGCAAAGATATTCAACTATATGTACTCCACTGCTCCTAAGGTAGATTCAGGGTGCTTTTTGTCCCTTTCTCGTGGCAAAATCTTAGAGTCGTGTTTTTAATCTCTCATATCTCTGCATCTTAGTCATAAAAGATTATCAATGAAAAACTTTGTCATGTTTCATATTTTTATGTAATTTCAAGAGAACATCCATTAAAAGAGTTACTTGCGGATTTGTGAGGTTGACGAATATTCATTCATTCAATTAGATTTCCAGCTTTTGTTTTTAGATGTATTTTGAAGAAAATAATTTTCCAGGTTCTAAGTGATGGTAGTGGTGGGTCCTATGGTGTTGGAGAAGGCCTGTCCTCTGAAGCACTTCCTATGCATGGTCTAGGATACGGTCTACCCTTGTCTAGACTTTATGCCAGGTACAATGCATGGTCTAGGATACGGTCTACAGCTGTCTAGGCTTTATGCAAGGTACTATTCATGGTCTAGGATACGGTCTACCCTTGTCTAGACTTTATGCCAGGTACTATGCATGGTCTAGGATACGGTCTACCTTTGTTTAGGCTTTATGCCAGGTACTATGCATGGTCTAGGATACGGTCTACCACTGTCTAGACTTTATGCCAGGTACTATGCATGGTCTAGGATAGGATACGGTCTACCTTTGTCTAGGCTTTGTGCCAGGTACTATGCATGGTCCAGGATACGGTCTACCACTGTCTAGGCAATATGTCAGGTACTATGCATGGTCTAGGATACGGTCTACCACTGTCTAAGCCTTATGTCAGGTACTATGCATGGTCTAGGATACGGTCTACCACTGTCTAGGCTTTATGCCAGGTACTATGCATGGTCTAGGATACGGTCTACCACTGTCTAAGCATTATGTTAGGCACTATGCATAGTCTAGGATACGGTCTACCACTGTCTAGGCATTATGTTAGGCCCTATGCATAGTATAGGATACGGTCTACCACTGTCTAGGCATTATGTTAGGTACTATGCATAATCTAGGATACGGTCTACCACTGTCTAGGCTTTATGCCAGGTACTATGCATGGTCTAGGATACGGTGTAACACTGTCTAGGCATTATGTTAGGTACTATGCATAGTCTAGGATACGGTCTAACACTGTCTAGGCATTATGTTAGGTACTATGCATAGTCTAGGATAAAGTCTACCACTGTCTAGGCTTTATGCCAGGTACTATGCATAGTGTAGGATACGGTTTTTAAGAAAAATGCTGCGAAAATGAACTCACCACTTTCTTGATATATTTATATAAATGCCATATAATTCACCCATTCCACTTTTTTTTCAACTCGCAAAGATACAAAAAAAACTTGAGACAAATTTAGATTTTATTTCTTAAATGACAACATTTTTTTCGTTAAATCTTCAACAAATTTAATTTTCAGATTTAAGAGTTTTTTTATTTTAAAAAAGTTGACAAATCAAAATTTGAGGAGGCATTACTTAATTTCACTTGATTTGATTTGGGAAAGAAAAAAAATTTATTTGGGCAAAACATTTTAATTTCTATCGACCAAGACCTTCTCTCGGGTCACGTAATTGGTGAGTACCGAGATGGACTTGTCTATCTAACTGTGCAGTTTGGTTATGACATTACCATTGTCCTTGCCCTCGCCCTGTTGATACACACTAGACTTGTGTCATTTATCCACTGGAAATAAATTTCTTCCCTTTTTTATGGGAGCTTGACCTTGATTTCTACGGAATGATGGTTGATGTTTGCAATTATTACTACAAAAACGTCTTACGTCATCGGTTTAGCTGTTTTAAAATTTGGGATGGACAAGTAAAATATAGATATTCTTCAAATTTAATCTTTATTTAGATATTTCAAGGGGGATATCAAGGTTGGGAGTGTTGATGGTCTAGGAATAGATGTTTACGTCTATCTTCATAGAATATCTCAACTTGCTCAGGTAAACATACCTTACGATCTTAGTAATAATAACAAACTTTAATTAAATGGCTATTATTTTCTTTACAATTATCAAACTGAAACATGTTGTAATTTAATTTAAAGTTAAATTTTATTAATTTATTTATTATTTATTTAGTATTATCATTATTTCCAGGAGAACCTGCCTGTGTATAATCATGTGTCCTCTACTAAACTTACATCAACGTCCACCCAGGTTAGTCTTCACATCTTTCATTTTTTTATCATTCATTAATAATCTAGAAAGTTTTTATGCTTTTACTGATAACTTTTCGATGACTTCGAGCCATAACATTCGAAAGTTTCATTGGTGGAATAAATTTTAAAAATAACTAAATTTTTGTTAGACCTGTCATAATTCATAAACGTTCTCTCTTATAAGTATTAAAAAGTATAAGGGTTGACTGCGATTATATTATTATTATTATTATGTTTATTTACATATGTACACTGTACAGTGTACTCTGTACAGACATATTTAGATATTTAGATTAAAGAATGATGAATATATTTAGGTTCCCGACTGGACTGATAAAGATATCAAGTACTAAAAAATCCAGAGTGTCCTTCCCTCAGATTCCTTCAGAATAGGGTTCCAAGTTTTTCCGGAATAATTTGGTTTTGCAAATGTCGTATACGGGATCTTTCCTGAAGCTGTTAAGAATGAAAAACCTTTAAACCCTTTTATAGATTAAGGGTTGAACGTTACTTAACAATAAAGATACGAATTGCAGAAACAAAAAACTTTTTTGGAACGATAATATTCGTTGGGAATTGATCCTAAAATTTGGGTTTCATAATTACGTTTAGTAAGGCTACCCTTAATTCCTAAAAGTTTTGATGTTGCACTGAATTCACAACAGCTTCAGAAAAGGTTCCGTAACTTTGTGCGAAAAATTGAAAGCTCTAATACAGAACCACGTCAGAACACATTGTCTCTCCTTAATACCTTACTTGTCCATATGGTTATTCTTCTATGTTAAAACCTGTAGTTTTTTTTCAGTTATATTTTTAATTTTAAAGAGACTTGAAGTGGCGTTATTATAAGTGACCCTCATTTATTCAGTGGTATTTCCGATTTACTATGGTACCCTTTAAACCTTCGTCTTGGTCAGTGTTTTAAAGAAATCCTTATTTTTTCAGTTGAAAAATGTACTTGTGGGTTTGCCCTTTAAAGGGAGGGTCATTTGAAATAACGTCGACTGTCCCTTTAAAGGATTCTCTAATCTTGGATCATCACCATCTCTGAATGGAGGATACACCCTATCTGTAAATGTTTTCCAGGGTGAAAATCATCTTATTTTTATTATAAATTATAAGTTATTTTCGGTTTTAATTAGTTGAATTAAATTAGGTGCTATGTATATTTTTAAGAAATTTTCTATTCTTGATACTGAGAAAAGTTGTAAAAAAAATGTCCCAAAAAATCTATGAATTCACGGGACAAATTTCAAAATAACTATTATACTTTAAACGATTAAAATCAAAAAATGTCTTCGAATATATTTTGAAAGCTCATGGAAAAACTTTTGATACATCCTACAGTGCTTGAATTAAATATCCAAATGTCGTATGCCATGTTTATTGGACATTCTGTATGAATTAAACTTTGTTATTCGTATATATAGATTTGTAGTTTTTTATTGTATGTAGTCAATAAATATTATCTGCTCATTGTTCAATAATTGAGTTATTCTAAGAGATAGAGAACAAATTCTTTTTCCTCGTCAATTAATGTCTGCAATTAATATTTGAAAATTGCATGATCGTTAAACATGAAACATTAATCATTCACTTTATTCACTTAATATTTTTTTAATTCCAGCAAAAATGAGAATGTATTCATCGCTTAATAAATGAAAAAGAAGAAAATACTTGTAGTTACATACATCAATGAGTGCTGCGTGGATCAAAGACGATTTTGACTCATGGTTAAACCCATGTGTACCATCTTTCCAAGAAATGAATAGTAGAGTGAGAAGTAATGTACTGAACGACCAGATAATGGGTTTTTCCTGACAATTAATTGGCTCATAGTAATTAAGCCTTTCCCTATCATCAAGTGTTCTTATCATTTATATATAAGTATCCAACTTTTCATCAGAGTCGATCAAGGGATTGCGAATCCAGAGCCCGAAATTTAAAAGAATATCGTTGAACGAAACTCGCGAGTTTTTAAATATCACAAAGTCTAATGATTATTCAATTACTAACTAATTATACTAAATCCATTTTAAAATCACTCATTAACCAACTTTGTGATATATCAAGATGCAATACTCAGTCAAATGTGGTGGTACGGAAGGGGAAATAATAGTGGCTCATGGCTGTCAGAAGAGAAAAAAGCTAATATGTGGCACGGAAGGGGAAATAGTGGTGGTTCATGGAAGCCTGCCTTCAAATAGGTTGGATTCAGTCCTTCATATAATCTTAAATAGGTTGGATTCAGTCCTTCATACAATCTTGATTAGATTGGATTCAATCTAATTATAACAATTCAATTTCCTTACAACATACAAGATAGTTATAAACACAAAACAAGTAGACGAATGGTCAATGGTAAGATATTCTTATTCTGAGACAAAGGAAAAATTGAGCAAGCAGCTTTATTCAAGATATGTTTTATTTGAAAATCCCAGTTTTAAAATTCGTCAATTGTTTAAGTCCAAAAAAATTCTAATATTTGTTTTTGCACCGTCATTGGTAATTCTTTTAAATCTCATATTATTAAGCATTTCGACCCGCCGTTTTACTGTCCTTCATAAAAATAATATTTTTAGAAAAACTTGTCCATAACTATGATGTTAACAACTATGAAAAGTTAACGAGTTTAAGCGTTCTAATGTAAGCTGTTTTTAAGTTATTTATTAAAATTCACAGGGGGGATTGGAAGCCATACAACTTGAAATCTGAAAAAAATTCTTAATATCTCTGGTAATATTGACAGCAGAAAAAAAGAGACCAAATTTTGAAAATGCCAGGAATCCTAGAATTGTGTGGTTATTGTTTCAAGAATTATACATGTCAAAGTAGGTTGACGACTGAATGTCACAAATTAATTCAAAGATACAAAGACGACTTTCAAGCTGTCTTCTGTCATGTTTCGTGGTACACCCTGCATATTACATAAAGTTCTTATTTCAGGATACGTAAATGTGATATTATTTTACACAATATCTACAGTACATACCTTGTACCAGACATATAATAAGTACAAGTGTAGAATCTAGAATGAGCAATATTCTTTAAGTTGATCAAACTGTTTTATTTTTGAAAGAACATGAACCAGCGTAGTGCGAATATTACACAAGTAAACTATTACTTAGTCCTCCAAGACGACAAAATTTATAAACTAATATTTAAATGAAAATTTTAATGTTTAAATAAAGTACCTTATAAGGCAGGGTATGCTATATATATGTATTAAGACGCAGTGTCTGCTATAGTCATGATAATATCTTAATAAATAAGACTGTAGAAGACACCAGTAGACAGAATAGACATTATATGTGTACATGTACAGACAAAAAAACTAATGGTTGAGAATATGTATTAAGCTGTATACTCTAACTATGTCTAGTTTAGGAAGAACAGGAACCATTGGGAAAATAATTCACTACGGTCTAAAATATATATTACCGATTTGAAAAGAATTTCTGTAGTGATGAAGCTGCACTGGAAGTTCAACATTAATGACTGGATGATTGAACTTCCGAAACTGAATCAGAAAGCAGTGTTGATCGTTAATCCCCTGCCCCCATCACCCTATCAGCACCCCCTCCCCCCACTCTCCCCCATAACCAATCGTAACCAACTCCCTCAGATTTTTTAGCTAAGAAAACGGTCACATACATCAAGGAACCTGTGATGAAGTTAGGAGGGGGGGGGGGAAGGAATAAAGTTAATAATTCATCGCCCCCCCCCCTTCCTACCCTTTAAAAGATTTCACTTACAGACAACTTGAAAAACAGTGAACGACCCCACGCCCCCCTCACTTCAGTAGTAAGAATGGCTAATTGTTTAAAATAGAATAGATATCTCGGGGTTTTAACTTTTAAAAGAAGAGTCTAATTGAAAAAAGTGGTTGCTTTGGTTTTCCAAGAGAGCCTAGTTCACTACTGCTTACCTACTTTCCTAAAAATAAATTTGCAGAGCTGAGTTTTTTTTAAACTTTGCTGACAGCGCCATAAGTCCCTACTGGACGTTAGGGTTTTATCTGAAACATGCTGACAGGCACATGTTAAAAAGAAACGTAACAGCACCAATATGGATTTTGACCAAAACGTATCACAATTTACACTTAGCATGTATTCCTAAAGACCTAAAGAAAGGTTTTGATCGTTGTGATTTAGACAAACTTAAAAAAAATAATTCACCAACACCTGGTTCAAAATGGTCTTGTTAACCAAACTCGATATATATGTTTAAATGGTGTTTTTTTAATTAGACAAAATTTTAACATGTGGTTTCCCAAGGAAGTGTTCTTTTGCCTCTGCCTTTTCTTCTTTACATGTACGATTTTTCCCTACCGAGATCTTTTTATTAATCCTCTTTCTTTTAGTTTTTTAAGTCATCTTCTGATACTGCAAGCCTAATACTTAATGCAAACACTAAAATAAAAAAATGGATTCAAGCAAATCGGTTGACACTAAATGTTTCCAAATTAAGTTTATAGCATTTTGAAATAAAAAATGCATTTGTAATTTATCAATTACAAATGAAATACTTGAAAGAATTGGCAATTGCCTGTGTAAACAAATATTTTAAATGTGTCGGACTTAAACTTGACGAATCTTTAAACTGATAATTTTAAATTAAAAATATCTCAAACAAAACTGCTCAATCTTTGCTTTCTACGTCATATACCATTGAAATTTATAATTATTTGTGCATAACTCTCTTGTATAGCCTTAATTTGAATATGGAATTGTTACATGGGGAGGGGGTTGTATGAAGGACTGAATCCAACCTATTCAAGATCTTATGAAGGACTGAATCCAACCTATTCAAGATCGTATGAAGGACTAAATCCAACCTATGTAAGATTGTATGAAGGACTGAAACCAACCTATTTAAGATTTATGAAGGACTGAAACCAACCTATTCAAGAATGTATGAAGGCCTGAATCCAACCTATCTAAGAATGTATGAAGGATTGAATCCAACCTATTCAAGAATGTATGAAGAGCTGAATCCAACCTATTCGAGAATGTATGAAGGACTGAATCTAACCTATTCAAGAATGTATGAAGGATTGAATCCAACCTATTCAAGAATGTTTGAAGGACTGAATCCAACCTATTCAAGAATGTATGAAGAGCTGAATCCAACCTATTCAAGATTGTATGAAGGATTGAATCCAACCTATCCAAGAATGTATGAAGGATTGAATCCAACCTGTTCAAGAATGTATGAAGGACTGAATCCAACCTATTCAAGAATGTATGAAGGACTGAATTCAACCTATTCAAGAATGTATGAAGGGCTGAATCCAACCTATTCAAGATTGTATGAAGGATTGCATCCAAACTATTTAAGAATGTATGAAGGACTGAATCCAAACTATTGAAGAATGTATGAAGGACTGAATTCAACCTATTGAAGAATGTATGGAGGACTGAATCCAACCTATTCAAGAATTTAAAAAAGACTGAATCCAACCTATTTAAGAATGTATGAAGGACTGAATCCAAACTATTTAAGATTGTATGAAGGACTGAATCCAACCTATTCAAGAATGTATGAAGGACTGAATCCAACCTTTTCAAGATTGTATGAAGGACTGAATCCAAACTATTTAAGAATGTATGAAGGACTGAATCCAACCTATTCAAGATTTATGAAGGACTGAAAACAAACTATTTAAGATTGTGTGAGGGACTGAATCCAACCTATTTAAGATTGTGTGAGGGACTGAATCCAACCTATTAAGGATTGTATGATTGTATGAATGACTGAATCCAACCTATTTAAGATTTATGAAGGACTGAAAAAAAACTATTTAAGATTGTTTGAGGGACTGAATCCAACCTATTAAGGATTGTATGATTGTATGAAGGATTGAATCCAACCTATTTAAGATTGTATGAAGGACTGAATCCAACCAATCCAAGATTATATGAAGGACTGAAACTAACCAATCCAAGATTGTATGAAAGACGTAAACCAATCTTTTCAAGATTATAGATTGGTTTCCGTCGTTCTTACAATATTGGATAGGTTGGATTTTGTCAGACTAGTTTACAGAAATCTTAGAGGACTTGAATTACGATTTTAAAGGAGGTTAAAAAAAACTTTTCCTTGGTTCGATATTTTATAATAATTAATTGATAAATTAGAAAGTATGGCTGCCATTATCGCACAAATCTCTCTCCAGGTATATTTTGCTAATCATTAAATGGTCATCATAATAAAAACAGGGTCTTGGAAATATATTTGATACGAGTATCAAAAAAACTTTTTTTTTTCTGCCTAAAATAAAGTAATTTTTGAAATATAAAAAACGGACAAATGGACAATGCATGTTTATTAAACACTTAATTACTGAGTGAGTTTCTAATTATTAACATTTTTGTATTATTATAAAAGTTTCTTCTAATCCTAATTTGTTATAATAAAATTCTCTGCTGGCGAAAAAAAGAATTTGACATTTTTGATGAAATTATTTCACCCTTAATAATCC